ATGATCATTTATCTTTATCAACGATTTCAAAAGACAGTGCAGAGTCATATGGAAGTTCAGAGTTAAATGAAATCCAGAATTCTTGTGAGACAACATTTCCTAATCAACCGATTTATCAGAATTCTCATGCTATTGTACCAAGTATGACTTTTCCTAATGATTCACATATTTCTAATGAAATTACTTGCAATTCTGAGGAAAATATGTTAAATGAACCTAATCATGATCGAAAACCTGATGTGGTTTGGATAGATGCTGATTTTTCTAACGATCCTACGCTCTGCAATGACAGTCCTGATGAATTTCATGAGAATATTTCAGAAGAATCAAATCCTGATGTCATATCATATATTACCTATCCTTATAATGTATTTGATCTTTGTGAAAAACCTGCCCAATGCGAAGCACGAGTACTAAGTGACCTCGAGTTTTATTATATTTCGGATGATTTCATATCAACTGCTGTTTACTCTTATCACAAAAACAGTTCTAATGTTTACTCTAAACAATGTGAGATATATGTTTTAAATGAAGCCACATTATTCATAACTTGGGAGTATAAAGATCCAACATTATTTCGTGGGGGGGGATAGTGTTGAAAAATCTATGGTTCGAATTCTAGATATTAATGATTTCATTACAAAACCGACATGCTGGTTGTATACAATTCCAGATACTACAAAGTTTTTATCTTATACAATGTCGGACAGACTCAGAATGAACTTAACAAGAAGACGTACAACCGATTACAAACACTTATACTTCTATTTAAGCTGTGGCGGATGTGGTGTTTGAATTAACTAATGATTCTTTGGTACTGGTTGAATGCTCGATTTCGAATTCTAAATACAGTACATTCGTTGTGCCTGTGTCTTCTTAATTCAATTGCGTTAATCCTGGGATTCCTAATTCATACTATAATTAGAATACTATAAAACTTCTTCGACACTACGGAATTCCTGAGAAGATTGTCAATATTATCCAGAACTCATACGACGGACTACAGTGCAAAGTAGTGCATGGAGGACAGCTGACAGATGCATTCCAAGTAAGGACCGGAGTCAGACAAGGCTGTTTACTCTCTCCCTTCCTCTTTCTTCTGGTGGTGGACTGGATTATGAAGACCTCAACATCTGAAAGAAAACACGGAATACAATGGACAGCTCAGAATCAATTAGACGATTTGGACTTCGCAGATGACCGAGCCCTCCTATCACGTACACATGAACAGATGCAGATGAAGACAGCCAGTGTAGCAGCAGTCTCTGCATCAGTAGGCCTCAAAATACACAAAGGGAAAACTAAGGTCCTCAAATTCAAGGCGGATAACAGCAATCCAATCACTCTTGATGGCGAAACTCTGGAAGATGTAGAATTCTTCACATACCTGGGAAGCATCATCGATGAACAAGGAGGATCCGATGCAGACGTAAAGGCGAGGATCGGCAAAGCAAGGGTCGCATTCCTACAATTGAAGAACATATGGAACTCAAAACAACTTTCAACCAATATGAAATTGAGAATCTTCAATACGAACGTCAAGGCAGTTCTACTGTATGGAGCTTAAACTTGGAGAACTACAACAACCACAATCAAGAAAGTACAAGTATTTATAAATAGCTGTCTTCGCAAGATACTCAACATCCATTGGCCGGATACCATCAGCAACTGCCTTCTGTGGGAGAGAACAAACCAACTCCCAGCTGAAGAAGAAATTAGGAAAAGACGATGGAAATGGATAGAACATACATTACGCAAATCGTCAAACTGCATCACGAGGCAAGCCCTAACTTGGAATCCTGAAGGGAAGCGAAAAAGAGGAAGGCCAAAGAACACATTGCGTCGGATAATAGAAGCAGATATGAAAACGACGAATTACAACTGGACGGACCTAGAAAGGATTGCCGAGGACAGGGTTGGATGGAGAACGCTGGTGAGCGGCCTATGCTCCTTCACGAGGAGTAACAGGCGTAATTAAGTAAGTAAGCCCAGTCTCAACATAAGACTTGACGGTAAAACCCTGAAACTATCGACACAACATAGTAGATGGGATAGAAGACGCACCTTCTACTCCCTAGAAGTAGCCAAATATTGGAGATTGCTGCCAAGTTACTAGTCCAAGTGACATATTGTTGAAGACTGAGGACAGTGAAGTTGCCACAGGTATTTGGAGTTTGACTTCGCTTCAACCAGTAAAACCTTATATGAGTCGTACCCACCAAGTGAAGTTAAAAGACAAAAGCGAGGATGTTCGAAGATATATTTGAGAGGCTATCAATATATCGAGGATCGACTGATCCAGAATGGCTAGCGATTGCAGGGGATGTTAAGCACGGTGTTCCCACTCGTGATCTGGCATGGATGTATGACTGAGAGCCCACAGCTAGGTGAGTCCATTAAAACTAATGTGGTCAGCATCCAATGTCGGAGACTTACAGAGCTAATTATTTTGGGGATTTATTTACCGCTACAACAGTATGTCCATACAAATTAATATTTTTTCTCTTTTATCGCTAAATATACCCAGGTTATTACTTGGAGGCATCAGTGATGCACTGCCACTAGATACAGAAGTCCGTTGGGAGAAAGCTCTTTCTATTCCGTTCAGAAACATTTCAAACCATTTATGAACTTTCCCATACAATGACAAACGAATGAAATTTATTAACTTGATACGTGATTGACGCTCTGTCTCTCAGCACATTAAAGGGACGTTAGAACGATCGAGAGACATTCACTGTTACGACCAACACAATGCATTTGGGTCGTTGTCCCTTGAAAAATTGGCGATGTGTTGATTTAAGTTCTGAAGCTGACCTAGCCAAATAACCTCGTGGGGCGCACTTTTTGAGTTTACTCGTGGGTCTTGCTACATATTCCGAGTCTTTAAGTACAACCAGAAATATATTTAAACTCTTCCTGTTTATAGTCGATATTTTCAAAATTACATAATAATTTCAAGGTTTAGTCAAAAATTTGAAAGAATTAGTGTTTATTGAAATTTGGAGGCGGTCCGAGTAATTCGAGAAATTAGTTTTTTAAACTGGCTAAACCTTTTATTAAAACGAACTTCACCGTCGTGGGAGAACCAGTCAGTTGGCTATTTTCATCCAATAGCAGCTGTATGCCCTTTGACCACTCTTTTTCTAATTTAAGGGTATATGGCGCAATGTTTCTCTGATTACCGGTACAAGTAGTGAATTATAATTGTCCGTTAAGGTCATGAAAACCAAGTACTTGAATGCTCGCGACAATATTTTGTCATTTTACAGAGAATTAGCCTGATGTTAACACATTTAGAGGTTGACTGGATGTATCAATACCTTCAAATATTTTGAAAAGTGTAGTTATTTGAATGCTCGTGCTCTCTTCTCGAGTTATGTAAAATGGTTTCGTCTGATTTGCTACTAGTCGCATGAGTAGTATTTCGTAAAATGAGGTAAAAAAAATATTAGTCATGAAGAGTGTCTGTTAAGCTGTTACAAGAGCAAGGTGCGTTTCACTATACCATTAACATGATTAAACTTCTGAATATAGCCTTGAGCATCGCTCATGGTGTGGCCTCCTAATAAAACCACTTAATTTGGTTTGGGCTTGCTGCCAGTATTCGAGTCCTCACACAAATCGAGCGACTTGTGTAGCGTATATGCATGTTAATCTGTTTAGATAATGATAAATTATATTGAGGTATGAATTCTAAACGTAACTTGTGTTGACGTTTTCAGTCAATTGATGTGACTGCATTTCTTAATTAATACACTATATATGAAAGGGTTATACATGGCCCACTGGGTATTTGGTCATGTGGGGTTTTATTTGAATTGTAAGGATTGTTTTTCTAATCTGGCGAGTGCACGTTTTAGGATCAAACTCCTAATCGATCAACATCCTGCGAGCTGTTGGTTTGTTAAGTAACTTTGTTGGTTTCTGAATGTCCAGTCCACTTTTTCATTTTCTCATTAAATTCACAATGTCAAATAAGTTTTCGTATTATTTTTGAAATTTGTGTACTAAACTTAATCAAGCTCTTTAAAGATATTTTTGGTATTCTCGAACGCATATGCTGAGCAAAAACTGAAGTAAACACTTATGATCAAATTTATTTTACTGCACAATCAGTTTTTAGATGCGTTAAAATACATTTATTACGTGGGGTATACCTCAGTAGAACACATTCTACTGTCTTAGTGAGTACACCCATTTGCCTCCTTTTCCAATATAGTCAACCAAGGCGAAACAAACAAGCCCACCAACTTGAATTTGCTTAAAATACTACATTTCAAGACAGTACAAAACAAAAACATATGTACTAGATGTAAAATAAAAAATAAATGATCAGCAGTAAGCTGTCAAATGTTAAGGAACTATAATTAACCTTCGTCTGCCAGAAAAAAAGTCGAGCTATAGCTTTTGAGGATTCATTACTAAAACACTAAGTTCAATCGGTATTTAGGCTGAATGCGTATCGACTACGGTAAGTACTCTTAAATGAAACTGCTTACATTCTTTGTTGTTATCTAATTGTGCTAGACCCTACATTATTCCCAACAGTTTTTTTACCTGTTTTGTAAGATTTCTCTGACGAGTATTGTTGCATACTAGATTGTCCTATTTGGACTTCGTATATGGTTTGGACCGGTGGTTTCAAAAAACTGAACATCTAATTTATTGAAAATAGATTTAAAATTCTATTTATGAAAAGCTTAGCGAATGGAATCAAGTGGTTTCAGTGTTTATTCCTCAATCTGGTTTGATTATCATGGAGACGTTAGTCACAACATCCAAATCTTGATTTCACTCGTTTAGTTCTTTGCAAATGTAACTTAAGATTTAGCTTATTGTATTCTTTTTTGTTACTATATAATAAAAAAATTCTGATTTCCAAGGTATATTCTACGATATTTTGATTTATTGTCCTTGCAGATTTCTTTAATCTATTTCCGTTTTAAGAAATAGCAACACTTCAGTTTTTTCCATATACTCACATATTTGTTCAAAAAATGTACGAGGTCCAACCACGGCAAGTAGATATTGCGCTTGTTATCGCATGCCACGATGGAAATTTTGAAGAAGTCAAACGATTGGTAGAGGATGAAGATGCAGATATATGTTACCAGGTTTGTTACAGTCCTTTTCCTATGAGTATCACCCTCATGAACTTTTGCTTACATCCATATCTTCGTTATTTTTCTTGTGGTAACGTCGCGTTCGGTCTGCGAACGTTTCTTTTTAAGTCTTACTCTTATTAGTACATTTAAAACTGGCTAGTGATTGATAATCGTAATTTAAAGCTAAGTAAAACTGGGAAAATGTGTACTTTGACTATTTATTAGCTAAATTTTATTATTCGAAACTAAGTTAAGTGAAAAATTTAAGTTGATTTAATTTTGTGTTGATAAGTGTTACAAGTTGAGATTGTTTCCATCAAAAATAGGGGAAAATTATGTTGTAGACGATTATTCATACACTATATAAGTTCAGTGTACGATAACCAGTGTCAAAATACGTCTATGGATTCTGTCACGACCTATCAGTATGATGCCATGGAGTTCATTACAGTCGAATTTCCATTACACTTGGTGGCCAAACCGTTATAGGTGGAGAAACTTTTATACACACAAACGTAGTATTGAAAGCTGAATGCTTTTGTCACTAGGTCACGACACAACAGTTATTGATGTACTGTCGTAAATATTCCTGATCGATATTCAGCTGCATGGGCGATCCTAACGGTTTTAATTTTGGTCTTTTAACTTGTTTTACACGAAAGTCGTTTAATTATTTTAGTCGCCATAGGAAATGCTCAGTGCTTCCGAACTCCAAGTAATTTAAAATATCTAAGATTGTAATGTCACTAGTACGATTAAACACGAAGTACATGTCAATCAGTCAGTCAGCTACAACGTAGGACCAGGCACATATGTGCATCGGTCCAGGTTGCCATACCGCATCAGCACAACAAGATGAACACCGGATTCATAGCAGTGGTTAGGTCAAAGGTAGTAATATATAAGAGAAAGATTGCATATAGAGATATAGTACAAGAAGAAAGAATTGGTTCGTAGAAAGAAAGATGTCAGGCAATTTTAATCTCTTAGTTTAAGGGAAGACAGGGAGTGTACACACCGACGCCATTGTGATCGATTCTGAGCCATGTCACCAAGAGTCTCCAACCATTGGTTACGATAGTCACGCGGACCCCAACCAAATAGACTGCATTTACCAACATGGCTCAGACCAGAAGTCAGTGACTTCAAGCACTGATGCCACGTTTTGGTTTGGCCGCCCATAACATTCTTCCAACCATCTCCAACACCGGTTAGCATTGCACTTCGTGGTAGTCAGTGTTCAGGCATACGTAACACGTGGCCCGACCATCTCAGTCGATGAAGATTCACAACCTCATCAACTGATTTACCATCATTCCCTAATACCCTGTGTTTAACCTCACTATTACTTACCCGGTGATCCCAGCAGACGCCAGCAATAAGGCATCTGTGGTCAAATATTAGTAGCTTACGAGTGTCTTCTACTCTTAATGGCCATGTTTCGCTGCCGTAAATTAAAACAGAACGGACTGCCGCGCAGTATACTCGTCCATCAATTGATAGACGGATATCTCGCCTTCGCCATAGGTGACGTAAGTTGGCAAAAGCCAAGCGAGTTTTTCGAATCCGTGCTGAGATTTCGTCAGACACTAACCTATTAGGGCTGGTCAGACTTCCAAGATAAGTGAAGTTGTCGACGCGTTCGACTACTTCACTCCCTATCCTTAGTTCAGGTGTTGACTCAGACCAGTCCTGAAGCAGCAGCTTGCATTTAGTGGAAGAGAAGCGCATTCCAAACATTCTGGCATTGTTGCTCAGTGCTAACAAAAGACTGCATTTTATCAGTATCTTCACCAAACAGGACGACGAGAAAGTTATTTCCGTCAGTAGATCTATGATGAAGTTAAACGAAAATGGGGAAAGTGGACAGCCTTGACGGACACCACTCGAGGTTGCAAAAGTAGATGACAGTTCGCCATAAGCCCTGACTCGACTAGTAGTGTTCGAGTAAAGAGCCTTCACAAGGTTTATGTTCTTCTGGGGTACGCCTTTAAATGACAGACACTGCCACAAAATCTCGCGGTCTACCGAGTCAAATGCTGCTTTTAAGTCGAGAAAGACCACCATTGTCGGACGCCGGTAAGTATGCCTGTGTTCTAGAATCTGACGAATGGTGAATATGTGGTCGATGCAGCCACGACCACGTCTAAAGCCAGCTTGGTTCTCTCGTGTTTGCAGTTCACGAGTCTTAGTTAGGCGTCTGATAATTATCGAGGCTAGTATTTTAGATATTATATTAGTTAAACTAATCCCTCTGTGGTTGTCACAGGATGATTTTGACCCTTTCTTATATATTGGGACGATAAGTGATTGCGACCAGTCAGATGGGATAAAGTCTAATTCCCAGATCTTAGCTAAAATATTAGTCAACTTAATCGCTAAAATTGGACCACCATCCTTAAAGACCTCTGGAGCCAATCCATCTGAATCAGCTGCCCTTCCTCGTTTTAGATTAACTATAGCCTTTTGAACTTCAGCAAGAGTTGGGGGACCTACTTCAATGTTCCATTCACACTGTCTGGGAATGGAGGGTAGTTGTAGAGTAGCTGAAGGCCAGCTGAACTGTTCTCTGAAATGTTCCGCCCATCGTTCTAGACGCCTGGACTGGGAGCAGATGAGTGTATCGTCTTTTTCCGATATAATCTCACTTACACTTGACTTATTAATTCCAGTTTCTTTTATTAGTCTGTAGAGCTGTCTTGTGTTCCCTATAGTCGCCGCCTTTTCCATCTCTTTTGCTTTCGTTGCCCACCACTGCTCACGATCGTTTCTTAGACTTTTTCTTAACCTAGATCTGATTTGTTGTCGCTCTTCCTCATGTTCAGAACCCGATGGGACGAGTTTGCGAGAATCCATCAGTGTGATAGGCTTTGAAGAAATCCACTGGTTCTTTGAAACTGTGGTTTAAGTCGCTAATAGATGTCACTGCTGCTTCCTCAGCTGCTTGTATATCTTTCCAAGCAACATCTGGGTCAGCCTCGTCTTCAGAACTACCTAATCGTGACCTCAGTTGTTCCTGGAACCTACTTTTGGTTTCCTCGCTACTCAGTTCGGTTCTAATGGGTCTTTTTACTGTGGCTTTTTTGCGTCCAGTGATGCGCAAGCAGATGCGTGCCCGTATTAGGGCATGGTCGGAGTCCAAGCAGGTACTCCAGAATGAGCGACAATCTTCTACCGACCCTCTCCAACGATGACTGATGGCAATATGGTCTATTTGAGTCCATCGTTGGTTTGGTGTAGGGGGTCGCCATGTTAGACGATGTCTCTCCTTATGCTTAAAATTTGTGTTTGCTAAAAATAAACGATTGTCTGAGCATAGCTGCAGCAGATGATCACCATTATCTGTTCGCTGTGTCGGAATACTAAAATATCCACCTAAATGCCTTTCTGTTTGGTTTAAACTGCCTATCTGAGCATTAAAATCACCTGCTACGAGTACTATGACTGAGCGTTTAGCTTTCTGAAGTTCGGACAGCTTTCTGTAAAATTCATCTTTCACATCATCTGAGCTGCAGTCAGTGGGAGCGTAGGCAGAAACGACAAAAAGGCAACGACGTATGTCCCTATCCTTCCGAGTTCTTACGGAGCCGTTCAGCCGAACATCACATAGACGACTGTTGACGGGGATCCACTCTAGCAGTGCTTGTTCCGCCCTCATGCTTAGTGCTATGCCTACACCTGCCAGTCCACGAGAACTGGCCATCGGGTCACCAGATACACGTAGGGTGTATCTCGTTGGCTCTCCGTTTTGCCGAGGTGAGGTCAAGTGAATGACCACACTGGAATCCTGTATGCGTGTTTCGGAGACACAGCATACATCAATGGAAAGAGACTAGGGTTTTAGCCAAGGAAGCCTGCTGACCGATTTGACATAGAGTGCGTACGTTGAAAGCTCCAATGTGTAGTTTGGAGCGAGGTTTCAGTAGACCTGGGACAGAGTTTTGAGCACTAGAATCGTTGGCTATGGTGACACTTGAGGTGGAAGCCGAGAGAGGAAATTTAAAGTTGAAAGTCGATGTAGGAGGAATAATAGGAATTGAAGAGGAAGGTTGATTATGAATACAGTGGTCTTGAGTGCTGTTAGAGGTATGAGGGCGGTTTTCACTTCCCGGTTGCCCACACCGTGGAAGGGTTGTTCTGGTGGTACCTGAAAAGGAATTTGGATTAAAGGTGGTCTTAGTGACCTGAGAGCGTGACCGCAGTGCCCAAGGGACAGCTGCTTGAGGCCGGTCGCGCACGGCCTTTTCGTGGGAGGTTTTTGACGTGTTAGCTCCGTTCTTCAAAGAGCCTTACCGCCGGAGACGGAAATCCGTAAGGTGAAGTGCGCATTTTTAGGGTCGACCTTTTCTAACCCCACCCTCCTTGTGGGAAGGCAGCATCGCTGTCATGCTGGTTGTCTGAAGGAAACACCTTACTGCTGTCACACCTCTGTACAGTCAGCAGTACGACTTCGCCTTCGGACCTTGGGTTTGTTGCTTTTAGTCTTACCGCTCTTCAACCGACCTGTCTGACATGGTAGGACCTTGAGGAACGGTTGTTCCAACCAGTATAGCTCGGTTGCTTCATCACGATAGGCAAGCCCGACCACCACGTCAAGGTAGCAACAACGGTCGGGACAAAGTACATGACTAGAAAATTGTCTTGTTACTGTAGGAAATAAACAGTGAGGTTTTAAAATGTCTTTACGAACGCTCATAAAATATTGTGACCTTTGACTTCATTCTGGAGTTAAATTTAGTGAAGTTGTTGAGTCACTTTTACTATATGATCAACCAAGGCTAACTAGTAAGGTTAGAAGTGGTGTTATGGAGTCATGTTATGGTTTCAAATAGTCTATATTTTCTAGGCATCAATGTCAAGGTCGGACTTGACAGTTTCAAATAAATTGAGCTTTAGGTAGAAAGTTAGTGATAAAAGTATTTTTGTTATATTTCAATGAGTAGAAAATGTGTATCCTGACGTTTCGTGACTTGATGTAAGCCACATTTTCAGAGCAAATAAGAAACCGAAATAAATTAACACATGTTTGAATAGTCTATATTTTACAATTCTTATGCCCAAAATCACTTTCAGCTATATGATGTTAAAAGACTATGAAGACGACGGGATCAGCGGAAAAGACATGACTGTTTCATAACGATTTGATGCTTTAAAAAAAAGCATTCAGGTACCAAGGTGTGATAATAATTACAACAAATCATGGTACTGAGATCGAACTAAAAACAAATATCCCTAAAGACTTTGTACTACACTTATATCCTTACTAAAAGTTTCGGATTTTATAGAACACCATCAGAATACTAAAAATTTGTGTGTTCAAACCTGAGTACTTGAAAATATACACTTCGAAAATTACAGGCAAGATTACTTAGAACTCGTTTCGACAAAGTACTTAATGATCCCAGTTAAATATACACATTTAGCACTAGGCGTATGCGCAATCTTGTATTACTGTAATATTTGCTTATCCTTCGTTTTCTACACAGGATTTTAAAACTGGAATGAGCGTATTAATGGTTGCGGCAGGAGCTGGACACACAGATATTGTAAACTATTTATTATCAGAAGGTGCCCCCTGGAATGCAGTTGATCGAAGCTATTTGTGCGCCGGGGATTATGCCGCTAGAAATAAACAGCAAGATTGTATTGATATCCTGATGAATCATGCAGTTATGTCTGAGTTACTTTTGTGTATTGCAGTAAACAAGTCAGATGAAGGAGAGTCTTTGAAGAATGTTGATTCTATGGATCTTACTACTACTGTAAACACACGTGCAAATAATTCCTCAGAAGCTCTTAACGCTTCTTACCTTTCTAGTCGACTGGAATATTCTGATGACAGAAAATGTCTCATTGACACTAATACTCATCTAGCTGTAATGATGGATTGGGAAACTCCAATAATGGAGAAACATGCAGCGTGGATTTGTCATGCAGACGAAATAGATAGTACTATCAATTCACCTATTCGAGTTTTAAATGTTGGATTTGGTTTGGGGATTGTTGACACGGCTATACAAAAGTATTCACCTGACTCACATTATATAATAGAAGCTCATCCGGAGGTAAGTTTTAATTCAAAAGGTATTCCTCTAGACTTTAACATCAGTGAGCAACATCCTAACTGCTGTTCCTTATTTCTATCTTAACTTCTGTCCTTATTTCAGGTGGTCGTATGCCGTTACTGCCTGTAGTATTTGTATATCGGACCTTGAAGGTATTAATTAACTTACCAGGCACACCCTTCTACACCAGACAATCTCAGAGTACATTCCTGTCCAACGGATTAAATGCAGTCCTAATATCGAGAAACACAACGATTGTCGGCCTCCAATAAGTATAGCAATGCTCTAAAATTTGATGGAGAGTGAAAATATGGTCGATACATCCACGATGTGATCGAAAATCAGCCTGTTCCTCCCGAGTCAGTCTCATGAATTTCACACAGTCCAATTTCTCTCAAAGCATTTTGTAACCGAGTCTCTGTTGTCATCTTTAACTAAAAATCTAGTATGAATATGCAGTGGTTCAAGCTACCAATTTCTCTAAATAATAGAATAATTTAAGTAAACGAAAAATACAGTGTTTATAACAAATAGTCAACTTCCATGGGGCAGACAGTACTGTTGTCAGTCTCCTGATAAATTATCATCCCCATACTTTTTGTGTTTACAGTAACTCATGAATTTTTATGGAATTTTGTCTAACCATATTCAGTACCAACAGTTTTCTTGACTTGATCACATTGCTAGTTGGGGTAAACAGCTAGTCAAACTACATTGAATATTTTAATAACGATCGTTTATGCTGGGCACTTTATTTATTAACTTATCTGTACCAAAACTAAACCTGTTCATAACGTAAAGAATGTCTCGCAAAAGTCATTAAATTAATTACCGGTTACCAGCGCATGTTTGTGTGTAAAAAGGTGTTTGAAAGAGATGGTATTTCCAAATCCCCTACTCTTAAAATATACATAACTGACCGTAATATTTTCCTTGTTTTAAGATGCATAAAACATCCTAACGATCGAGATATACCACTACAAGGACATTAATGGGACATCATATAAAATATCAATACCTAGTGAAAACGTAGCACCTGCTTTTCCATGCTAAGTACCCTCATCAGATAGATTGGATTTGTGTTTGGTCAATCAGCTACAACGTAGGACCAGGCACATATGTGCATCGGTCCAGGTTGCCATACCGCATCAGCACAACAAGATGAACACCGGATTCATAGCAGTGGTTAGGTCAAAGGTAGTAATATATAAGAGAAAGATTGCATATAGAGATATAGTACAAGAAGAAAGAATTGGTTCGTAGAAAGAAAGATGTCAGGCAATTTTAATCTCTTAGTTTAAGGGAAGACAGGGAGTGTACACACCGACGCCATTGTGATCGATTCTGAGCCATGTCACCAAGAGTCTCCAACCATTGGTTACGATAGTCACGCGGACCCCAACCAAATAGACTGCATTTACCAACATGGCTCAGACCAGAAGTCAGTGACTTCAAGCACTGATGCCACGTTTTGGTTTGGCCGCCCATAACATTCTTCCAACCATCTCCAACACCGGTTAGCATTGCACTTCGTGGTAGTCAGTGTTCAGGCATACGTAACACGTGGCCCGACCATCTCAGTCGATGAAGATTCACAACCTCATCAACTGATTTACCATCATTCCCTAATATCCTGTGTTTAACCTCACTATTACTTACCCGGTGATCCCAGCAGACGCCAGCAATAAGGCATCTGTGGTCAAATATTAGTAGCTTACGAGTGTCTTCTACTCTTAATGGCCATGTTTCGCTGCCGTAAATTAAAACAGAACGGACTGCCGCGCAGTATACTCGTCCATCAATTGATAGACGGATATCTCGCCTTCGCCATAGGTGACGTAAGTTGGCAAAAGCCAAGCGAGTTTTTCGAATCCGTGCTGAGATTTCGTCAGACACTAACCTATTAGGGCTGGTCAGACTTCCAAGATAAGTGAAGTTGTCGACGCGTTCGACTACTTCACTCCCTATCCTTAGTTCAGGTGTTGACGCAGTCCAGTCCTGAAGCAACAACTTGCATTTAGAGGGAGAGAAGCGCATTCCAAACATTCTGGCATTGTTGCTCAATGCTACCAGAGCAATAAGATGAAAAGTCATGAGCACCACTAAACATATTGGTTCTATTGTAAGTTTATTTCCAACTATTTTACAGCCGTGAGTATAAACAAATAAAAAAATGCTATCGTTGATTATGAAACCTCCAATTGGGTAATTTTATAATCCTGGTAACCAAAAGTGTTACGAGGTTTTTGTGTGCAGCTTTGCTTTACGAATTAACGGAAAACCAATATCACTGGTTTATTTCCTTATCCCTTTATTCATTGTTATAAGAAGATTGACACTGTCTGTTTTGAATTCAAAACATTATTTTTGCTTGTTGATTAGGGCTTTCAGCCATGCCTCAAACAATGAATAATTGGTATTACACGTGACTCTTAGAACGTTTCATGTGGTGGTGACTGTTTGAAAACGGCGTTTCTTTCTGCTCACACAATATAGTGTAGAGCTTATGCTTGGTTAACTAAATTTTATAAATGCCTCTACTAACGTAGCACTGATTGTAGGTGTTGGAGAAAATGAAGTCCGAAGAATGGTTTGCTAAGCCTGGCGTCAAGATAATTCCAAGTAAATGGCAAGATGCGGTCGTTTTATTAGCCAAAGAAATTGATGACGGGGCCATTCCAAGGTTTAGTGGAATATTTTTTGACACATATGCAGAGGACGATAATGATTTGAGAGAATTTCATACGTGGTTACCCAAACTTCTTTCTTTACCTAATCAAAAAAGTGTGGGAGATCCATCTTTCTCAGGAAGGTACTCTTATTATAACGGTTTGTGTCCTGACAATGTATTTTTTCACGGAGTCGCATGCGAAACAATGAGGTTGCATTTAAAAAGGTAATTTGCATTCTTGATGTTTAATTAGATAGCATGAATTCAATTTATTAATTTCTAGACATACTCCTTTTTGAAGAGAGCAAGAACAAAGATTGGTGCAGATTCATATGAATTCATCTTGTTTCGTTAGGTTCTCATCAGCTGCTTACAACCTAAATTATTTGAAATTCAACATTATTACAGATATTGACACAAGAGGGTGATTAAGGATGAATAAATGTATCATGGTGTAGCGAAGATTTCGTTAGAGTTAATGAGGTCATAAAATTTTGTCTTGAATAAATAGAGTTTGAGAGGGAAGGTTCCAGAACATTGAAATAGTGATTAGAACTCATGAAAATAGATTAATGGTAATAAAGAAAATATGAATTGAAATCAGTCAGTTATATATGATGTAATTTAAACTTCAGAAAGAGTTGGAATAATGACGCAATAAATAAATAAGTAGAAATAAATGTATAAATAAAAGAGGGGGAGCTATTGTTACCACGGTAAAGAAAGATCTATTACTCTCTTTTTGTATACATAGGTCTGGTTTTAGACGTTTGATTGCTAATGCTTCAGCAGGTTTCAAAAGGTTGGAGCCTGATTCTTTAATAATCACGTTGAAGGACTTCCGTGTATCATCTTAGCTTCCTGTGTCAAGGAGATGCTTTGCGATGGCACTGTTGAATGCTTTCAATCCATTTGATGTTAAACTTTTCGGAATATGTTCTTTGAATCGGAAGTTTAACTACTCATATAACTGACTGATTTCAATTCATATTTTCTTTATTACCATTAATCTATTTTCATGAGTTCTAATCACTATTTCAGTGTTCTGGAACCTTCCCTCTCAAACTCTATTTATTCAAGACAAAATTTTATGACCTCATTAACTCTAACGAAATCTTCGCTACACCATGATACATTTATTCATCCTTAATCACCCTCTTGTGTCAATATCTGTAATAATGTTGAATTTCAAATAATTTAGGTTGTAAGCAGCTGATGAGAACCTAACGAAATAAAATGAATTCATATTATTCTGCACCAATCTTTGTTCTTGCTCTCTTTAAGATAATAAAGGGAACTATGTGTATGAAAAATACTCCATTTTAATTGGTGAAACCCCTATGTCAGTAAACAAAGGAAAAATTGGTCGAGCTCTTTTAAAACCCTTTGTATAAAGATTCAGTGAATGGTTTTAAGGTTATTTAATGCAAATTTAGTAATGGAATTATTGTCCAGATTACAGTTTAAAATCTCAAACAAAGCTTAATGGAATTACTATCATTAATTTGCAGCATTTCCCTAATGAAGTGAAGCGAGGTACTTACAGATTAGCTACACAATTGATATACCGGATGAACTTAAATATCTTTCCGCAGTATACTACGCTACTGAAATAGCACGGTAATAAAACTGGTGACCGTATGATCGAGTTTATATTGCCGCTAGATTGGATATTCGGAAGATCGGCTATATACACACTAGACCACGTTTTATCAGATATATGGCTCATGACCAAAAATAAAGAACCAGAGTAACGGGAAACAATACTTCATTTCTAATGGTTACAATAAGTCACTCTGTGGACCCACAGTAGAAGCCAATAAGAGAAAAGGGAATCACATGTTTAATAGTAAACTGCTTCTCTGTTTGTCCACACTCAGTGACTAAACACATTTACTCTCACTACTACACATCAAGTACAATACAGCCACTTTCCTGATTACTGTTCGTTCTCACACTCTAGAGGTGTTTGATAGTCTTTTGAAGTGTAATGACCAGTAGCAAGCTGTTATAGGAATATATAGATACGTCCCGTTGCCTGTGTCTACTTCTATCGATGACAGCGTAAATAAAGACCGTCTCTTATTTTCTCAGGTTTGGTAACTTTAGCGAGTAATATTAACTCCCTAATAGATAAGCTAAGTTGAGTTGAAAGACTGGAGCTGTTCAGATGATCTATCTACTCCTGATTCGTCCATTAGTCATCGTAGAAGTATTTAATCAGTTGATTTTCTTAATATCAAAATGAGGATCGATAGTCCTCCTTAATATAGCATTTAGATCTATGTTGAAAGTAAAATTACAGAAGTTTCTGCAATACACAAATGACTTTATTGCGTCCGATTCAAATAGATTGAATAGTTTTGATCAGTCCTTGAGATATAGGAGTAAAATTATCAGGAATGAGGGTTGATATCTTCAGAAATGCAACTTGACATACGTACGTCATATGACATTGCGTGTAAGTAATTTAGGTCTGTGGGTTGCCAAAAATCAGTGGCTTCCCATCTTATTTACGAAACGTTGGATGGTTACTTATAATAACCATACTAAATTGGAAATACCATGGATCCACGAATTTTCAATCTCCCTCAGACAATTGCACATACTATATCTTCCCCTGTTGTCGCTTTTTCCTATTTATCGTCCACTATTATTGGTTCTGTTTTCTGTTTTTTCTTGCTATCTTGATGTAAACTATGACGTAATGGTTCTATCTCTGTTTCCTATACGTCAATTATATGTAAATCCGAACACTTCTGGTTCATGTTTGCTGGAATTTTAATACAATACTTACATTTTTCTTATCTAGGTTGGGAATAAGTTGTATATTTAACCCAGTTGCTGTCGACGTTGCAGACCAAGAGATGTGGAAAGATGTTTCTCAAAGATATTGGTATTTTGATACATATTTCTTGCCAAAGTGTACTTTTGATCCTGGTGAAAAGGACTAATAAAGTTTATTCCGTCAAAACACAATGTTTTGTTTGTTGAGGTTTTAAAACATCAGTATGCTTTATCAAAGCGCTAATATTTTCGTATACTGTTTCGTCATTCCCAATGCATACACGTGCTTAAACAAGTTAATTTTGATTCAATGATTAGTAGTAATTCTATCATCATTTATCGACAGTGTAGACGAAATGAGTCGAATCCTTCTTCTTGCACTATATGGTACACAGTGCTTCTAAAACGGAGATTCACTGTTAATTCATGGCTGTTCGACATAACGGATAACAACGAAGTCTAATAGTCAGACTTTAATTTTATGGGTTAGTTATTGACCTACAAGAAGTCATTGACGTTGTAAATAAATTTTAATCATGTTTGTCATTTTGCTTACTTTCGTTAATTGGGGTATTGTATTAGTAACTAAGGTTCTGTGAATAACTATCATTACTTCACATTATTCAAATCAGTCCAACCGATCGGCAGGATATTTAACGACCACACATTTCCTCCGTTATAACATTATAGATAATGTTTGGTTTGATGAACCTCATATTTCATAATTCATCATTCAAATAAGATAAATGATAGTAATTAGGCTAACTCGCTAATTTGATAACGATGGTGAGCTAATTAATGCAGCCTTTAATTCTTGCTTAACTCTCCCGAAATATAAGCGTATTTTGGATAGAACACAGGTTCGGTAGTTTAGCTTCGAATTCATATTTGTTAAGTTTAAAAGTCTAACAAAATACAGCTTTACGGCAGAAGTTTGCATATTTTTAACTATAACTCAAAATACCTTATAACAATCGTCGGACCGATATCCAACGACATTGATCTTCCAAGAGGTCCACTTATCGACTTAGAATATGCAACCTCGAGTGGTGTCCATCAAGGCTGTCCGCTTTCTCCATTTTCGTTTAACTTCATCATAGACCTACTAATGGAAATAACGCTCTTATCGACTGAATTTTCTGGCAATGAACTCGCACCAGAAAGTCTACTTATCGACTTAGAATATGCAGATGATATAGTCCTGTTTGGTGAAGATACTGATAAAATGCAGTCTTTTGTTAGCACTGAGCAACAATGCCAGAATGTTTGGAATGCGCTTCTCTTCCACTAAATGCAAGCTGCTGCTTCAGGACTGGTCTGAGTCAACACCTGAACTAAGGATAGGGAGTGAAGTAGTCGAACGCGTCGACAACTTCACTTATCTTGGAAGTCTGACCAGCCCTAATAGGTTAGTGTCTGACGAAATCTCAGCACGGATTCGAAAAACTCGCTTGGCTTTTGCCAACTTACGTCACCTATGGCGAAGGCGAGATATCCGTCTATCAATTGATGGACGAGTATACTGCGCGGCAGTCCGTTCTGTTTTAATTTACGGCAGCGAAACATGGCCATTAAGAGTAGAAGACACTCATAAGCTACTAATATTTGACCACAGATGCCTTATTGCTGGCGTCTGCTGGGATCACCGGGTAAGTAATAGTGAGGTTAAACACAGGGTATTAGGGAATGATGGTAAGTCAGTTGATGAGGTTGTGAATCTTCATCGACTGAGATGTTCGGGTCACGTGGTACGTATGCCTGAACACTGACTACCACGAAGTGCAATGCTAACCGGTGTTGGAGATGGTTGGAAGAATGTTATGGGCGGCCAAACCAAAACGTGGCATCAGTGCTTGAAGTCACTGACTTCTGGTCTGAGCCATGTTGGTAAATGCAGTCTATTTGGTTGGGGTCCGCGTGACTATCGTAACCAATGGTTGGAGACTCTTGGTGACATGGCTCAGAATCGATCACAATGGCGTCGGTGTGTACACTCTTTGTCTTCCCTTAAATTGTGAGATTAAAATTGCCTGACATCTTTCTTTCTATGAACTAATTATTTCTCCATTTAGTATATCCTTATATGCAACCTTTCTTTTACATATTACTACCATTGAAGTGACTGCTATGAATTTGGTGTTCATCTTGTTCAGTCAGTCAGCTACAACGTAGGACCAGGCACATATATGGATCGGTCCAAGTTGTCATGCCTCACTAGCACAATAGGATGAACACCGGATTCATAAAAGTAGTTAATTCTCAGGTGCTAATACATAAAAGTAAGATTGCATACAAGGACATAGTACAGGATGACAGAATTAGTTCCTAGAAAAAAAGATATGAAGTGATTTTAATCTCTTAGTTCAAGGGAAGACAGTGAGTGTATACACCAACCCCATTGTGATCGATCCTGAGCCATGTCACCAAGAGTCTTCAACCATTGGCTACGATAGTCACGCGGACCCCAACCAAGTAGAGTGCTTCACTACTTCACTCCCTATACTTAGTTTAGGTGTTGACGCAGGCCAGTCCTGAAGCAGCAGCTTGCATTTAGTGGAAGAGAAGCGCATTCCAAACATTCTGGCATTGTTGCTCAGTGCTACCAGAAGACTCTGCATTTTGTCAGCGTCTTCATCAAACAGGACTGTCATTTGTGTATTCTAAGTCGATGAGTGGACCTCCTGGATGGAGATCAATACCCGAGAACTCAGTCGACGAGAAAGTTATTTCCGTCAGTAGATCTATGATGAAGTTAAACGAAAATGGAGAAAGTGGACAACCTTGACGGACACCACTCGAGGTTGCAAAAGCAGATGACAGTTCGCCATAAGTTCTGACTCCACCTGTAGTGTTCGAGTAAAGAGCTTTCATAAGGTTTATGTACTTCTGGGTTACGCCTTTCAATGACAGACACTACCACAGGATCTCACGGTTTACGGAGTCAAATGCTGCTCTTAAGTCAAGAAAGACCACCATTGTCGGGCGCCGATAAGTATGCCTATGTTCTGGAACCTGACGAATGGTGAATATGTGGTCGATGCAACCACGAACAGGTCTGAAGCCAGCTTGATTTTCTCGTGTTTGCAGTTCACGAGTATTAGTTAGGCGTCTGTTAATTATCGAGGTATGGCAACTTGGACCGGTGCATATATGTGCCTTGTCCTACGTTGTAGCTGACTGACGGTATGACTAGGAAATTAAGTTGAAAATAACAAGTAGCATAATATACAGTTCAACTAACCACTAGATAGTCCCCGTCCGATCAAAAGGTAAATCCTACTTAGACAGGACAGGATACGTTAGCCCAGGTTTAGTCACGGCATATTTAACCAATTCGTTGAGTTTTAAAGGTCTTAAACACCCAAACAAGACCTCCCGCTTAACGCATAGTTGGCTCAAGAACTGCTACATAGTTACTGATAGAGATCTCAGGATTCATTCTAGGAATACTACAGACGTCTAGTATTCCAGTTTCGTGTTCCTGTCATAAAACATATTAGGTCACATCGTTTTCAAGGGACTATCTGTAAAAGTACTGAGAACTGAACTATTACAATAATGGAAAGAAATGTATTGTAGTAGACTGCGGGAAATGCATCAGTTCAAGCTGCTACATATCTCAACATAAAAATACAATCCGGAAGATACATAATTGACATAGACAAATAGGTCCGGAACAACATCAAGAGTGGGTGTATAGACCACTGCTCAATATTTTGCAGCCTCCAATTACTGACTTGTAAAGAGTAACGCACAAAAGACATCTACCTTTCTCTTACACGACTCAAACCAACACCCGCTAATTTAATAGTCAGTTAGCTACGGCGTAGGACCAGGCACATATATGGATCGGTCCAAGTTGCAATACCTCATTAACACGACAAGATGGACACCGGATTCATAAAAGTAGTTAATTCAGTGATGGCAGTATGTAAAAGAAAGATTGCATATGATGACATAGTACAGGAAGAAAGAAAGATATGAAGCGATTTTAATCTCTTAGTTTAAGGGAAGACAGAGAGTGTATACACCGACGCCATTGTGATCGATTCATAGACTAAGTTCACATATTCATCAACATAAAAACGCCTAAATTCGAAACGAAGTACTATGAATGCTCGTGTTAAATTATGTTAAAATACACAAAACTGTAAGAAAGAGTATGAACGTGTGGTTTTTACACCACATAAATCTGACTTTGAACAGAACATACAACAGTGAGAAAATGAAATTATACAAATAGTTAACAGAGATTCTATTGATTAATTACTTTTCTTTTCACTGTACAAATCAGATACCAAGTTCTGCAAAAACCCATCATATATACTTCTTTGTAGTTCACCTTTTATGTTGAAGAACTCCGCAGCGGACTTTTTGACGGAAAGCGTTTTGACTTTTTTGGTAATGCCGTCACATACTGTTAAGCTTAAATGATATATGGGATCATATCTATGGGCGAAATCGAGGATTAAGAATGATATTACTTGTTCATATATGAGCATACTGTCCATGAGTCGGCTGGATCTAATCCCGTCTTATCTTCTTTCAGTCCAGTAAAGAAGACATTCTTCTCTATATACATTACATACAGTGTAATTATAGCAGACAGGAAGAAGTAAAGTGTAACACAGACTATTAGTACTGCTCGGGAATGAGGATGTGGGTACAAGTAATCGAATAAGACTCCGAAGCCAGCTATTAGGACAGATATCGTACATAATATTAGTCGTCCATCGAAAAGTTTGTGTGTCTCGAGTAAACCATGCTTTTTCATGAATAACTACGAAATATTGCTTAAAACCTGTGTTACCTCTTTAGCTGCATCATCAAGTGCTATTTTTAGCGCACCAACATCCCATTTGTTGACCGTCACCTCTTTCGAAGTCTCAGAAGACATTTTAAAATATTGACGTGACGTTTGACAGAATACGTGTACAAATGGTTCATTCGAAGTACACCTTAACAAAATAGTTATTTTTGAACTGCAATTTTTCCTAAGCAGCAACGTTTTATTATTTTCGAATATACTGTCGTATTCTTTTTATAGCAGTGTTGTTTTAGAGAATTACTGAAAATAATTCGGTTGTACTTCAAAACCCTAAAATTTTGGTGGAAACAAATAGTTAACAGTTTGTTCTTCAGTATTCGACTGTGAGCGGTAAAATGA